TTAGGCACATTTTAGGTATACCTCAGTCAGAGGTATAAAAAAGGCACATTTTAGGCATGCCTTAATTGTGCCTAAAATGTACCTATATTGAACAGGTTTTAACCCCTCCTATTCTGTCCTCTTTTTCTTCCTTACCCAAAATGTACCTAAGGCATGCCTTAGATATACCTAAGGCATGCCTTAGGTACCCCAAAAAGTGTACCTCAAGTGTACCTTTTTTTCCCCTGGGAATGTATGTTAAATGTGTGTACATGCACTTATAGATATGGAGGTTGGACGATGGAAGGTTTGCTTTGTCTGCAGTCCCTAACACAAGACTTGAACATATATTGCACTACCTCATGGATGAGAAGGAATTCCTGTCGCCATACGGAGTTCGCTCTCTTTCTAAGGTGAATATTTTAGTCAGGTTCTTTTGCCTATGCAATAAATTTTAAATGCATTAATATATTTTTAGCTCACCTGGTCCGGAGGACCATGGTGAGTTTATGCCGTACAGCAGCGTCCCTTGTCCGTCCGTGCGTCAACTTTTCCTTTACAACGCTAATAGACCTGAATGGCCCAGTAGATTTTGACTAAATTTGGTCTGGAGCATCCTTAGGCTAAGGGCACTCCAGTTTATAAACGGTGGGTGTGGCCCCCATGGGGACAGAGAGACAGGGCAATAGGGGAAATAGAGGTAAAACCTTTGAAATCCTTCTTCTACCATAGGGATGGGTTTTATCCAAATTTGGCCTGGAAAATCCGTCTTCTTCACTTCCATTGGAGGGATTTTATGTAATAAGAATAATTTCCCATGGTAGCTTTATTATCCATGTGAGCGATACAGGCCCTCTCGGGATCTTGTTTTATGAAGCTTTATAAATATATGATTGCATAATAACTAGACAGTTTGTATTACAAAAGTCAAGGTCAGGGCAATGAGTTAAAGGTCAAATCATTCTTCAAAGATATGGAGGTTGGTGGATGGCAAGACCATAAATTAAAGTCACTGCTAGGTGTCACAATTTAAGTCATTGTTTGGGTAATGAATTCTGAACAGCTGGATAATATTTATGAATCTTCAACCCTATTGATACAGTGAATGTTTCTTTGTTTATTCAGTATTACTGTGACAAACCATATGAGTTCCATTCTGGGGACTGTCCAGTGAAATATGCTCCCGGAGAGTCCAGCTCGGAAATATTTGGAGGCAACAGTAACTGGAGAGGGCCAATCTGGCTCTGTAGTAAGTATCGTGTCTATATAAACACTTGTTTATATATGTCTAGCTAGATGTGTATATTTATATACATGTTAACCCAATCCAGTTCCTCTTCCACTCCTGCCCCCTACACCTTTCAACTAGGACTTATTCCTCAAAGGCACAATATATATGCAATACCTTTTAGCAGAATAAAGTGGGTTGCAAAATGTAAAAAGAAATCCTAGAAATACACCCCCATACTATTTTTGATGGTTGTATGACTTCTTTATGACCTTTAACCTTTACTACTTACAGTGAACTATATACTGGTGGAGGCCCTAGAGACACACCACATTTTGTATGATCCATGCCTGACTGTGCGTGTAACCTCTGGACAGACTCTGGACCTGAAGGCCGTTGCCATGGAGATTTGTAACAGAGTTGTTACCTTGTTCATGCCCAAAGATGGAAAGAGACCACTGCACGGTAACTAGAGCAACACCTAACCACATGTCACTTTAGTTAGCTAAGTACTATATACCAATAGTATTTCTTGTGTTTCACCCGCTTTGTGGGGACACACATTTAGTATATAAATACCAGAAAGCTTTGCATCACCAATATAATAAATTCTATAAAACAGGTCTGGATAGTTTTATTAGAGGCAGATTGACATAAGAGCTATGAAAGAGAAAATGTTCTGTATAACTATTACCTGTTTTGATAGGAGAGGATTTGAAATACAGTACAGACCCTTTATGGAGGGACCTCATTCTCTTCTACGAATACTTCCATGGTGAAACAGGCAGAGGATGTGGGGCAAGGTAAGTTACAAGAATAAGCATGGTAACAGGTTTAGTATGGGGGATAAAGCAGGTCACAAGGATAACCACGGTGACACATGCTTAGGATGTGGGGCATAGTATGAACAACAATGTAAAAACAATGCTGCAGATTTTATGGGGTAATGCTACAAAATGACCAGTTTGAATAGACAAAGCTGCCAGCTTCTGATCACCCAATCCTACTGCAGGGTTCTAACCTCAGATCTGTTATATATTGTTACCTGCTAAACCAGAATTACTGTCCATTATAGGCTGTAAATATGACTGATTATATATCTAATATCAGTAAACAATTAACATGTGTTAACTGACTATATATCTAATGTCAGTAAACAATTAACATGTGTTAACTAAACAATTAACATGTGTTAACTGACTATATGTCTAATATCAGTAAACAATTAACATGTGTTAACTGACTATATATCTAATATCAGTAAACAATTAACATGTGTTAACTGGTTTTGTTTTTCAGTCATCAAACTGGGTGGACATCATTGATAGTGGAATTTTTCTACAAAATCTTGAAGAGGTGAACAGTTAGAGGGTGAAATATGGACACAGTGTAATAGTGTTATATGAACACAAGAACAGTTGAAGTGTTAATTAGTGGACACTAAACTGATCACTTGATCACTTTGTTACTTGATCAATTCTTTAAACCTTTCCATGTCGAATGTACCGACAGACGACCGTCAACAATCCAGTATCAAAAACACTTGATCATCGGGGTGCTTGTAATTATAGGTGTGTTCGATTACCTAACATGTGACCAGTCAACAGTCGTAGGGTAGCAAGCACCGGTTCATCACGTGACCAGTCAACAGTCGTAGGGTAGCAAGCATCGGTTCATCACGTGACCAGTCAACAGTCGTAGGGTAGCAAGCACCGGTTAATCACGTGACCAGTCAACAGTCATAGGCTAGCAAGCATCGGTTCATCATGTGACCAGTCAACAGTCGTAGGGTAGCAAGCATCGGTTCATCACGTGACCAGTCAACAGCCGTAGGGTAGCAAGCACCAGTTCATCATGTGACCAGTCAACAGTCGTAGGGTAGCAAGCATCGGTTCATCATGTGACCAGTCAACAGTCGTAGGGAAGCAAGGATTGGTTCATCACGTGACCAGTCAACAGCCGGAGGGTAGCAAGCACCGGTTCATCACGAGAACAGTCAACAGTCGTAGGGTAGCAAGCATCGGTTCATAACGTGGCCAGTCAACAGTCGTAGGGAAGCAAGCACCAGTTCATCACGAGACCAGTCAACAGTCATAGGGTAGCAAGCACCAGTTCATCACGTGACCAGTCAACAGTTTTACGGTAGCACACATTAGCTATAGTTCGTTTGGTGAATTGTCTGGGAAACAGATGAAATTGATTAGTATGCATTTATATAGCGAGTCAGGTAACAATGTGTTATATTGACTCCTGAAGAGTTGGACTCTGTAATACAGACACTTAATAGGTGGACTGTGTTATAGGGACACTAAATATTTGAACTTTGTAATATGGACACTTAACAGTTGGACTTTGTAATACAGACACTAGGTTCATCATGTGACCAGTCAACAGTCACAGGGTAGCAAGCATCGGTTCATCACTTGACCAGTCAACAGTCGTAGGGTAGCAAGCACCAGTTCATCATATGACCAGTCAACAGTCATAGGGTAGCAAGCACCAGTTCATCATGTGACCAGTCAACAGTCATAGGGTAGCAAGCATCGGTTCATCACGTGACCAGTCAACAGTCGTAGGGTAGCAAGCACCGGTTCATCACGTGACCAGTCAACAGCCGTAGGGTAGCAAGCACCGGTGTAGTATGGTAATATGAAGGCCATGGTGAAATGAACCGCAGTTCATATTACCATTATGGTAATATGAACCACGACCCCATGGTGAAATGAAGGGTTCCAAGGATTTCTATTCTGACACCTTTTTTCCATTCTTTTCTTTAAGTTTACTTCAATTTGATGTATTCTATCTGAAATGACAAAAATTAAGTCAGGGGTAAACAAAATTAGGGTGGGGCAGGGGCCCTTCACTTTACCATGGTGAAATGAAGGGTTTTAGCAAAAAAGAAATCTATTTTACTTTTTTAAACCAAATCTATTACCATAATGGTAATATGAACTGCGGTTAATTTCACCATGCTTCACAATACCATGCTACACCGGTTCATCACGTGACCAGTCAACAGTTTTACGGTAGCACACATTAGCTATAGTTCGTTTGGTGAATTGTCTGGGAAACAGATGAAATTGATTAGTATGCATTTATATAGCGAGTCAGGTAACAATGTGTTATATTGACTCCTGAAGAGTTGGACTCTGTAATACAGACACTTAATAGGTGGACTGTGTTATAGGGACACTAAATAGTTGAACTTTGTAATATGGACACTTAACAGTTGGACTTTGTAATACAGACACTAAATAGGTGGACTGTGTTATAGGGACACTAAATAGTTGAACTTTGTAATATGGACACTTAACAGTTGGACTTTGTAATATGGACACTTAACAGTTGGACTTTGTAATATGGACACTTAACAGTTGGACTTTGTAATATGGACACTTAATAGGTGGACTGTGTTATAGGGACACTTAACAGTTGGACTTTGTAATAGGGACACTTAACAGTTGGACTTTGTAATATGGACACTTAACAGTTGGACTTTCTGCCGCATTTCAGTGACATACAGTCCCAGCAGGACTATATAACGACATGGGATTTCAAAATGACCACCATCAGAACCATGCTGGATTTTAATTCAGCAAAAAGATATTAACATTTTATCAGGATCATAAGCTGTTCATCCCTATCAAATCTCAGTAAAACTGACCCATTAGACCGGGTTTTCAAAATGGTGGCTCCAGCTGCCATCTTGAATTGATAAATGAATAAGCTTAATTCATTTTACAGCAATAATGAAGCAAGTTTGTTTTATCTTCTATTAATCACTCTTGATGGCCAAGATAGAAGCTTGGCAAAGAGTTCTTAAGGAGGCTCAACCACATGTTGGTTTTTGTTATCTTTATTTATGTGCCATGTCTATATTGTGTGTATTTTTTACAATATTTCTGTATTGTATATTGGTCATTTCATTGTCAAAGTGTAAATTATAGCCAACACCGGGTAAACACCAAAACAGGGTGATGTCAACAACCCGATGTCAAGATGTCTCTAGGAATAGTGTTTGTGAACTCCTGGAAAGACACTGGACAAGATGGCGCCAAGGCGGTCCTATGTGAAGCGTATGTGGGCAGATTTGGATACCCACCTCACATGTACATTATATCATGTGTATACACAAGACTGCAACAGTTTCTGTTGTCATAACACTCTGTTGGATAAATCATTCTCAATAATTATGTAATTATATTGAAATTAACTAACTCTGTGAGACCACGGTTTCGTGAAATAGTATGGGCATACTTGTGATGTACCTGTATATAATAAAATATAGATACGATACCTTAGTCTGTACTGGAACTGTGTCCCCTGTGTACATGATTGAGAGTAACTTAAACTTTACTTATCAAAGAAAAAGAAATTGTTTTAAATGGTGCTATCTTTTATTGTTGTTATGCTTGTGTATGTATTGAGAATAAGGACTTGAACTTGGATTGTCAGGGACATTTGAGTGGAGAACACTAAACATTTACAATACTTTTCATTTCACAAATTTTCATTGAATACTGCAGAGCTGTTATATTTCGCGAAGGTTTTAATTTCGCTATATTCGCGCTTTGACTACTATCTACAAATTCTAAACACCAGCCAAATTATCGAAAATGTTTTTCGGACTTTTACGGACTTGATCACAAAATGTTGAAAATACCTATAACCCAAAGCTGTTATGCAAGCTTAAATGAACTCAAATCAGATTATTACCGGACAACTGGGAAGTCCATGTAAAAACAACACTTACATATAAGTGGTCACAATGTATTTATGTGTACACAGTAGGTCATTACAGTCTACTCCTACAAAGATACATACACATTTGATTTTCTTTCGAGTGAAGTCACTGGTGGTGGATGACGATGCTTGGGATCATTGTTTTTAAACGGTTTACCTGTATTTCGAGGTCTCTACGACACATTGGATTTGGGTGCACACCGAAATTTAATCCCCGCGTATATGTACTGAATAGGAAACCGTGAAATGTTTGACCCCGCAAATTTAAAGCGCTATACAGTATTGTATCTTATACAAATTCAAAAGGAATTGGGCAACAGGCGTAATGCCTATACAAGCCCTCTCCCGGTATGGACAATGTACTTTATAATATATTAATTGTAAAATAATTTAAAAACTTTCTACATCAAGGATTGACTATATTTGTATATGGATTCTGATGACGGTAGGCCTAGCCTACCGAAACATGGCAACAAATAAAATCTCCTAATTGACGGAATCCCTCGTGTTGATGCTCCATCTCTTACCTACTTGTTATATAAGTATTTGTTAACTTCTACTTCACCCGAGACATATAATCAGGCCAATGGGACAATTTTGATATTAAAATTTAAATCATTTCCATCTTTTATATCATATAATACTCATCATGTATTAAAAGGGAAACCGATCTTATCATTAAAATGTTATCCCATAATCAAACTACAAAAAAAATCCATTGTTTTAAAAAGAGACAATCCTTATCTGGATAAGAATTGCTGTGAAAAGTAGATAAATGAGATAAAAACAGCATTTGTGCGTTTGTTTTCTTTCAATTTTCCTTTCTACTTTTGAAACCCTTTCAGTTGAAATTCAAACAGTCAATGTACAAAGACAAAGTGCAGTATGTTACAATGAGCCTTAGCTCAGGTGTCCTATTTACTCATGTTTGATATCCAAACACCCTACAGTTTAACCTCATTTGATTAAGCTGGAATAAAACACTGGATAGCTCTGTTTACCTGTCTTATTTTTGGATCTGTTTTGGACTGAACTTTTTATCTTGTCAGTTTGAATATTCCCTTATGTAGACAATGGCATTGAAGTTGTCAAATGTTTGTGACAGAAATTCTCTAGGGGTCAAAAATGTATGTAGTGGACCAAGACAGAAATAAAAGAGTTCTTCGAAATTTCTTACCTGTTAGGGCTTAATAAATTTTATAATATAGAAAGCTAACTTTGTGATGTAATTTTCTAACAGGTCTTTTTCGGAAAGCTGTTAATGACGCACATGCTGATATTTCTCAGATAGTCTGTTATCAGTCTTGTTAATCAAAAACCAACACATACACATCGGGGGAGTACTACAATTGCAATAAATGTAATGATATTCAAAGTTAAATTATATAACGGTGTGGCATATGGTATTGAGAAACACAATGAAATGATCCGGGGTCAAATTACCATAATGGTAATATGCAGTTCATCTCACTATTGTGGTAGTACTGTGAAAATGGTGAGTATGTTGAAACCTGGCCAGGTAGTTACCGTGATCAACCCTTGTCTCAAGCTTTGGGTGTACGCTAGGCAAGGGGATACCCGAACCTGGGTTGTAAATAGTTGTGTCTTCGGGGGTGAACACTTAGAAAAAGGAGGGAGGAATGTAGTGGAATTGGACTGGGTCGATCGTCCGGGACCAGGTAGCTCAATTGGTAGAGCGCCCTTCTAGAGTTTGGAGGGTTCCGGGTTCGAAACCTCGTCTAGCCATACATTTTTCCATCTCATGTTACGTACAGTATGAACTGCCCCATTGGCGAAATTAAGAGTTCAAGAAACGTTTTCCTGATCAACTCTTTGTACCAATTATTTTGTTTAATTAACATCAATTTGTTATCCTACCTGGTATATACAGAAATAACAAAAAATAATTCGGAGGTAGAGAAGTTTAGGATAGGGCTTGTGGGGGCACCTTACCATAATGGTGAAATGATGTATTTCTCAGCATTTTTTCTGTTTGACTTTTAAAACCAATTCGTTTTCAGTTCACATCAATTTGTAGTCCTGTATATGAAAATAACAATATTTAAGTCTGGAGTAGAGAAATGTAATGTGTGCTAATTATTAACAAGACTGATGTACAGAACATAGACATGTAAGCATGTATGTCTTTAAATACCATTTACATGAAAACATCCCGCAAACTTTCATTTGCAATGTTAAGGATGATCCTATAT